AAACTAATTTTACAAAAATAATTACTTCTGTAGTCTGTGATCCCTGTTATATTGAACTTTTATGTATTGTGAAAATTACAACAATCAGTTGCACAGTTGAAAGTAAAGTATAAAGTTATGAACTTATGTCAATATCATTACTGATACTGTTAACAGAATAAATATTTATTCAGCTTTGCTCAATCTGACACAAGAGCACTTTAGTAAAACTCTTTGTAAAGATCAAATTCATTGCACTAATAAATAATCTGTTAACCTAGTTTGCAAGGACAATTGCAAGGGCTCATTCATAGAGTAAATATTTTTTCATTAACATGATAATTTATATGATTTGAAATAACCTTTGCTGAACTGAATTTATTTTACTAGTTTTAAGATAAATTCAAATTTAACTTGAGAGCTATCTACACAAGTTACCCACTTTGTACTTTAATATTCTTGTAAGATTATGAACAGGTTATTGGGTAGAGGCATTTTGACTAATGAATATCATATTTTGGTCAATTACATCAGCCTCCTAAATATTTGTTGGTGTATGTCAATTCTTGTTGGATTATATAATGTCAATTTTTTATACTTGAATTGATAAGTAAACATTGGTCAGAAATATATTAAAATTTGCAAAGAGGCCATTTTTTTTATGGTGGTGGTGATGGGGTCTTACCTCCCTGCAAGACAGCTAAGATCCCCAACTGACAGGGCAGAGCTAAGTGTTTATAAAACTATATCTGATTCTTATGGTATCAATATTCAGCAATGTTTAACCTTTGTGACCCCACCCCAAGAAAAAAATGTGTCAAAAGGACAGTTATTCCTTTGACACCACTACTACTGTATAAACTTTTTACTCCCTTGACAATGTTTGTTCAAAGGATTATAAAAAATTGTGAACCAAATACAATGTGATAATTATTATTTATAAAGATTTATTATTTAGCATTTTATAAATAAATAAATTTGAAAATAAATCATTTTATACAAAAATTTATAAAAATTACAAAATTATCAAAATATATAAACCAACTACAATACAATATTTATTATTTACTATTTTATAAATAACTATGAAAATGAGTTTTTTTTTCATAATTTTATTAAAATATTAATGAACAAGAAAATTTGAATAAACATATGATATTATCTATTTTGCTTTTTAAAACAATAAACATTGCCAATAAAGTAAAAAGTGTATACAGCAATAGAGGTGTCATGATAATAAATGTCCTTTTGACATACCATTTTTTGCCCAATATTCAATCATCTGTTGATGAAAAATAATAAAATGAGCTGCTAATTTTGAAGTAATTTGCTACTATATAGATGCCATGTTGCATGATTTGATTTAATAGCATATATTCCTCTAGGTCCAATTGATATTATTAGATTTGTTATAAACAAATGCTCCTATTTGGCTGGTCTGTCTGGAAATTGTTAACAGTTTATTTAATTTAGCAACATATATTCTTTGTTAAAATAGAAAAAGAGTTTTGCTGTAGGACTTAAAGATTTATATGAAAACTTACATTAGTCAATTGAAAAAAATGATACAATACTGTGCAAATGTCTTTTGGCCACTTTAAACTATTTTAAATTTCTGATAATTACCATCTTGTAAATAGATGTTTTATATCACACCTTTTAAAGGTGAAATATTGGCTCTTTCTGAGTCATTTCCATACCTAGCATGTTTTCCAGCTGTCTTTCTGAATAAGATGGGGTGAAGTGAGACAACATCCAAAATTTTAAAAAAATGGTTGTGTAAAAGTTTTAGGCTACCTCACAAAAGACAAACCAAATGAATTTTTTAATATTGAATTAATAAGGAACTTGATAACATAATTTTCATTTTCAAGGAGACACTATTTATGTTTCCTGAGTTCTCTTAGTTTAAATAACTGCCTTCCTTAATGTGCCTGAAAAGAAAAGAATAGAAATGTTTCACAATCTTCACAGCTGTAAGACACCATTCCTTGCAGCTGAGCTTCAAGACTCTTCAAGATTGTGTGGATCCTTATAACAACCTCTATTCTTTAATTCTGTGAACATTTGCTTGATGATTTTTAAATTGGAATGCTGAGCTAGACAATCTTCTAATATGGTGAATCCACTACCTGTCAAGCTTTTGTGTATGATATGGAGGTCTATCATATTGAAAAATCTGTCCTCCTTCTAAGCCTTGTATCAAATGGTACTTTTTTGAGGTTATACTGATGGCTGACTTTATCTGAATGGACTTCTTTTTTTATATATCTATATGGAATTTTGTTTGGGGATTAAAAAGACATCATCAGGCTCACAACAGAAATATATAAATCTCAAACATCATATAAAATATACAACATGTAAACAAAAACAATAAAATGCTTTAGCATACATTTTAGAGTAATGTTTGTATATTTCATAATACATATACAGAGATAAAAAGTTTATGCTTATCTGTTTGGTAGCACCTAGTCTGTCAGAGCACTGTCCCTAGACATCTATTTCATTTGGCCACCAAAGTTGAAGAGGGAGAAAATTTGACTTTGTTTCAACTGGTGGCAAAATGCTTGTTCCAGTGCATGATGGGAGTTTTCATATTTATTTTTTTTTATAATCTTTTTCTTTATTGTTAATTATCATTCGTATCTATATTTTAAAGTAATTTTATTACTTAACTTTTTTCTTATTAATTATTTATTATTTTAGTTTCCTACTCCTACATCGTCTAGTAGTAAGGGTTTTAGGTTACTTAGTGATTTATTTGTTGTTATATCAATACGGTCCTTTAGAAATTTTATGTATTTGACCCTATGTAAGCAAGCAATTATTTTAATCAACAATTTTGTCATTATTCTTTTTTTTGCAACTCCCCAAAGCATCAAACTCTTACCAAATTTCCCTGTTTTTGTCATATAGCTTCACATATTTCACATTCTAGGATGTTTTGATAAGTTTTCTCTTATTACAATGATAAGCCATACTTGTTTGATTACTGAATATGATCTTTCAAGAATCTACATCCTATAGTTTATGTCTTTTAGAACAACTTAATCTTGTCTTTAAATACCATTTGATTAACATTAATTTCTGAGCTTCTATTTATCCCTTCAGTTCATGTTATCAAAGGATACACTTAATGTTATCCACTGACACCAAATTGAATATTAATACCTAATCATCAATTTTCTTTATCTGTGATTTTATTATCTTGATTGGTTTGCATGCCAATCTACAACTTTCAATGATGACCACATCTTTATTAATTTGTGAAATGCTTCCAGTGTTTTGAAACTTAGAGGACATCTGAGAAATGACTTGAAATTCTAAAGTTCCTTAGCAATTACTCACTTTTCTTTGCCATTCCAGTTATCTTTAGAAAATTTTACTGATTCCAAGCAGTGAAAGAATAGAGGAACTCAAAGTGAGTTTTATATTTAAAATAAAAAAAAGAAAAATTCTCTGATGACAAAACAAATTGTATATTTATGGTGGAAAAAGCTGAGACTGTTGAAAACTTTTGTATAATAATTTCTGAAAGTTGTCTAACAACTCATTCAGAAAACTTGCTTCAAAAAATGAAATTTCAATACAGAATTCACTAATTAATCTGTAAGACAATAATCAACATCTGCATACACATAGGTAATTATTAGAAGTGTATGCTCAGTGCTTCAATTTTGGTGTCAGTAGATAAAAGTGCAATTTCTTCTTTGAGCTTTAGCTATTTTGATCACTTTCTGTAATGTCCTCTACTGCCACTTTTGAGTTTTACCAAGTTTTGCTTCCAATGATTTGAAACTTCAAGAGTACATCAGAGATGCCACTTCTTAAAATTTCAAAGTTCCTTCGTCACCTTCATCATCTTCATTCAGCTTTCTTTTCAAATTTTCGCTATGGTTTCAACAAGCAATGTAAGAATGCAGAAACTTGAAGTCAGAGTTTTAAATCAATTAAGGAAGAAAATCAGTGATGTTGCAAAAATAATTTGCATATTCACAGTGAAAAGCAAAAAAACAAAAAGGCTGAAACATTTTGCACAGCCATTTTCAGGTTGTCTCGCTTCTCATTCTTAAAGCCTGCAGAAAAAAACCCAAAATAGATATCTCAGAAAATGGCCAACTTTTCATGCATAAGAGACACAATATCAGGCATCTACTTACAAATTGGTAATTATTATACATTTACAATAATTTAAAGCAACTGGAAACTTTTGCATTCAACAATATGTACAATTTGTAGCTTTAATGATTTCTGCAATTAATGTAATCAACCTTAATTCAATATTAATAATTGGGAGTACAACATGGTGTTAGATCATAAATGATTCTTTCTCATGCCATGGGGAGTATAGGGCCACAACCTCATTACGTTAGGGTTACTGCTGTGGCTTCCATAGCAATTAGGCTTTTTATGGGGTGGAGTTTTCATCCCCACATCCAGCTGGTTTCAAATTTATTTTATCCTTTTAGACTGGTTGCCAAACAAATCTTGAGAGATAAGTCTACCATGCTATTTATTCCATAGTTGGGGGAAGAAGAAATGAATTCCTGCCTTTCCCAAAAGTATTTGTGTGAAAGTAAACACAATGACCTTGGACTGAATTTGAACTCGACATGCTGATTTCACTTTCACATGCATATTGATAAAAAAATTTATGTAAACCTCTTGAGATGTAAACTCAGCAGTTTCATTTGAAGTTAAAGTTTATTGATGTTTATTACAAACACTTAAAAAGAAAAGAAAAAAAAAAAAGAGTAATAATTTTTCTCTCAGTAATGTGTTTATAAAATCCCTGATACTCACAATAAATATCAATTGTCCTCTTCTGCTTTGAGATTTTGATAGCTTATGCTTATTTGTTGTAGTATGACCATTGATGTTACTACCCAACAGATCAAATGTTTAAAAATAAAAAGTAGGGTCCATTAAGTTCCATGAGAAATAAAATAATTTCAAAAGGACTATATTGAAAAATTTATAATATTTAACCCATAGCCATCTGAGGCTTATAATTATATCATGTTGAAACACCAGTTCCTATATGATCACCAAAGTTAAGCAATGTTGAACCTGGTCAGTACCTAGACGGGTGACCACTTGGGAATACCAGGTGCTGTAAGCTTGGATGTGTGGGTAGTGTAATGGTTATGAATTGTTAATCGGAGAGCCGAGTTCCAATTCGGGTTGTTATATTCACTTTTGTGCAAAAATTCTTGGGAAAGGTTTGAATTCACCACTTCTCCCCACTCAGCTACAGGCTAATTAGTAAGAATTGTGTCTCTAAATCATTAAGTTGAAAAAAAAATAAAAATAAAAAATTCTTACAATCATAAAATGATTTTCTGGCTTTAAATAACCTATAGGAAATGAATGAATGAATCAATCAATCAATCCTAGTGTAAGTTTAAGCTGACTCCATCTCCTTCCAACAATATATAGTAACCATTTTGCTCAATGTTCATATTTTCTTGATTATATATCATTATCTCATATATAGGGAACACTTTGACCAATCTCAACAGAAAACTGTGCTAATTAAAACTGCATGACAGTGATAAGCTATATTTAAACATTTCTTGACAGGCAAGCTGTTTGCACTTGAAGTATTTGTGTAATCTAATCTTGTTCCTCATTTCATTTTCTCCTATCTGGCCATGTACAGTACTAAGCTGAGTTTAGTAAATAATTGCAAAGATTGTTACTATGTTTATGACTGAAAAAAAAAAATCTGAAAAATCTAATTTGGATAATAGTCTCATGTAATGTTGATTTATATATTCGTTAGGCTTTTTCTTTTTTTTTTTAAAAAGAAAAAATCATTTCACCCTAAGGAAGATAATAAAGCCACTAAGATACAAGGGGTTAAAGAGTGTGAAAAAATATAAGGAAAAGAAAAACATAATTAAAGAGAGAGAATAATGAAAAACAGGAATTAAGAAGACAGAAGATAACAATTGACATCAAATTTAAATTTTGGATCAAAGTTGTCAGGAAAGCAAGAAACTGAAAGAGAGTTCCACAGGTGAGAAATGTGAGAGAAGAAACTGTTAGCATAGAACTTACAGTTACATCTAGGTTGGTTAATGTAACAAAATTTCAACCCTTGTTAGGTTATTTAATATCAAATACAAGTCTATATTGATATAAATATAGATAAACATGAATCCAGTTTACACTAGGCTAAAAAAATTCTTGACATAAGAACTGCTGCTTTGTGGAACAGACTCCCAAGGGGATGCTTTTCATTCATTAACCTTTTCAAGACTCGGTTCAACTATCCTACATATCTTCCTAACTTACACTTTCTTCCTCCTATGTCCATGATACAACTTCATTCATCATTCCTCTATTTTGAGTGGCTCTTGGGCCTTGATTTGGATGAACATTTAGAAAAAAAAGAAAATCTGTTTTATACCCGAGTCTGTAATTATCTATCTGAAAGTAGCCTCTGCAGTGGATTCATATTCTATGCCCTTCCAACAGGGCAATATTGACATGTATAAAAACCATTTTGAATTCAGCTGACTCAGTTTTTTGGGGTGGGGTGGGGTGGGGTGGGGTGCTCTTTTGTTATGGAATTCAAAAGATTTGCCATCACACCAATATACTATAAATATTGGAGCAATAAAATAAAATTAATTATATTTAAAATTAAACTCATGACCAGAATGTTCAAGAATTGCTAAATCATGTCATGTCTAATTGATATCTATCCAATTTATAGATTGATATAATTTGGTAGAAGAGTGCAGATACGAGAGAACATAACTCTGGATATTGCTGATGATATGAAATTTAATTTTCGTTTGGTATTTATTTATATGTAACTGTTTATCAAAACAAATTTTGTATCACACACATAATCATGTAAATCTAATGTAATAAAAATTTTCTGAAATTTTAAATTCTATAGCGTTTATTTTGCAATATTTTTTTAAATCTAATTGAAAGAAATAATTTTATCCCAAAGTTATCTCCCTTCTCATATTAATGGATGTTTCACAATGCAAGCATGTATTTTTGTGGAGCAAATTCAAGTGCCAGCAAAATTATTTCTTTCAACCACCACTGACATGGAGCTTACTACGTAAAGAATGCTTATTTTTTTTAAATAATTTTCTCTGTGGCATGATTATTTAGTTCCAGGAATCATGAAATGTTTACTTGAAATGGCACGCCTATTTTTACAAGTTGAATTCCCAGCAACATCACTATTCCACATGGTGCTTGTATTTGGTACAAAAGAGTACTTTCATAGCACTATATTGAAAATTTTCTCTAGGTATAATCTGAAGAGAAAAAAAATAGTCCAAGATTTTATTACATCTTTTATTACAGTAGAAATTTTGGTGCTAATTTACATGTCATCATGACCAAGCTTCGATCTGAAAGCGCTTAATTTGTTCAAGTGTCTTGATGTATATATCAGCATCATCTTCAGATACTTCTGCTTCATCCTGAATGATTTCTTTGACAGCATCACGCACATTGTCTGGCATCTGGTTGGCATTGCTGTAATAACAACAGAATCAGGAACCAAAAGTGTCAAATTTTGGCTACAAAATAGGCATTTGTTCAAAATAAATATTTCTTATGAATCACTTAAAATAAGAGTGTATTTACTTTCAGAAAATATATTTAAATCATAATATATTATCCATGCGTCAAAAGCAGAAATGTTGCTTCTAATCAAACTGAATAAGATACTGGATTTTTTTAAATGTGGAATTATTATTATTATATCCTTTACTATTCAGACCAGCATGTTCATCATGATCATTATGTTTCAGCCGATGTACACTCTGGCCTTTTTCAGATGTCTGCCTTTGTACACTTGGTAACCTCCTTGGAATTTCAAACTGAACCCCTTATTTAATTCATTGGAGTAGATTATTTTAATTCCACTTTCCTCACTTAGGGAAGATAATACTCACTAGTTTTATTCATATTTGCATTGCTTGTTCATTTCTTCCACTGACTTTCCAACACTACCAGTCCCTGGGATTGAACTCACAACTGCCAGAGAAACCAATATGTTTTAACTAACACTTCACTACACTAGTCTACAATGGGCATGTTGGTCCAAATATTTTTCTTTCTTTTTCTTCCCACCCAGATGACTAGATGAACAAAAAAAATTCTTGAGGGGGCCATCTGGATTGGCTTTGATTATCTTAGATGTGATCACAAATCCCTGGCTTTGGGAAATCACCTAAAACAACCAGTATGATGCTGATAAAGAAAGATTAATGACAGAAAATCCCCTTTTGCCTACACATTCTAAAAGTTTGGATTCATCACAAAGACAGTTGTACCAGCATTTGGAAATGGGTTGAGATTGAATACTGAGAAGGTGGGAAAAGTAAGAGAGAGATTAGCATCACCTATATAGAGCAATGGTGTGAGATGAGAAGTGAATGGAGTTGGACTTAAGGAGAGGCTTGACTCCTGACAACTCTCAAAAGGGGGCTGGGCAACCCCTAAATTTGGAAAATTACTTGAGTAAACCGATTTTGAAAATATGGGATTTTAGAAAAAGGTTGATGCTAAGGGTGGGAGATAACCGAACTCATACTCTGGTCAACCTCACAGCTGCTAGACACAGGACTCCATATAAGCTGGAGGTTTGGATAACTTAGATATTCCCCATATTACTGCTACTGGAATTCACATTGTTCACTGAGACCTCCTGACCAAGACTTTTTGCCAGCCCTGAAAACCAAGACTTAGAAATTTAAATTGCTACGAACACAGGTTGTAAATTCCAAAAGAGGATCCCAGTGTCATTTGATTATAATAGAAGTGGGGAGGGTTAAAACTGATGTATACAACAAATCATATATAAACCAAATTGTTGTTACATTTTTAACCAGAGTTAATTCTTTATTCCAAAGAATTCTTTTTTTTATGTAGCTCCTTGCTGTTGACCTGTTCTTCACTTTAGTTTACTTCATCAACAATCTTCACATACTCTGAGATCAAAAATAAGTGGCAGAGAAGTGAATGGTTGTGAAGCAGATGAATTTCAGTTAGATCGAGTGGAACCATGCTCATCATCACAATACCAGTGACAAACCAGCAATGCGTTAATAAGTGAGAAATCAGCTACATGGTAACAATGGTGATCTGAAGGAACCTGAAGACCAGTGCAGTGAGAGTGGGCTGCATATCACAAATGACAAAAAGATTTGAAGAAACTAAGATATTTTTTTTATGAATATTGAGAATGCCATAGATGGAGCAGGTGACAAATGAATTTTAGTTTTAAAGAGAATAGGAATTGTAAAGAAAATGCTGCTTACAGTCTTAGAAAGAAACAGTTTAAATTTTTACAACACAAAATGAGGAAAGAAGGTTTGAAGAATTTAATACTTACATATCAATGGAAAGAAAACAACAAGTAACCCTGACAATTTTTTGCAAAAAGGAACAATTGCTATAGAAGAAAAAGAAATCCTAAAAGAGGAAGTATTGCTGAGAACAACTAAAGAAAGGAAGCTATGGAGAACAATATCACTCATGCCTAAGGTACTTCAACAGGGTGTAATGGTTAGAAAGGTTGTCTAGATCAATTACATTACAACAGAGTAGTGAGTTCAATCCTCACTGGGTGCTTGACAGTTTTGGCATTGTGCTGCATTTAAGCTACACTTAGAAAATTATCTTGGGGCACTTCGACATGGTGTTAGGGTTAGCATGTTTGTCTTGCTAAATCAGTTATGACTGTGTAGTGAGTTTGACCTTCACTGAATGCCCATACTTTTTGGGCTTGTGTCACAACTAAGCTATGTCATATCACTCATGCTTTTAATGGATATGATACACATAGAAAGAGGCATGTGGGGAGATTATTAAACAATGTGAATTACTTGGGGTTTGATTTCTAAATTGCAAAAAGTCACTATAACATTTCCATGGCTCCAATGTGCTAGCATTTCAAGGTAATACTCACCCTGCTATATAGAAATATGCTCCTTGATTGTCAAGTAAATCCCAAACCAATGGTCCTTGTTTTTTCAAAATATGTTGTACATAGATTTTGTCCTCCTGAGATAAAAGAAAATTTTATGTAGTTGATCATAAGCAGCAGAATAAGATTATTATGCATTATTCTATTCAGTCTCGTGTCCTCATCTTGGTTGTTATAGTCTGTTGGATTACCCCCACTTGGTTTACCAGAGTTGCCAAGACACTGTTAAACAATTATAAAAACAGAACACATCCTGTTTCTTCCTTTTCCTTCTAGCATGTGATAGTGAGAACACCAATATGGGACCTGTTCTGTTTTGGGGATTATCATTCCCCGGGTGACTGAACTCAATCACACACACACACACATACATACATACATACATTATTAATCTGACAGCTTTGTATCACTTTAAATATTATTTTTAAAATCTGTCAGCATAATAAATAAAAAATCTTTAGAAATTTACTTTATGTTTGGATATGAAACTGAATAGATATGATAATTTTGAGGAATCTATAACAAGAAGGATTTCACTTAAAAGCACTCTTTAGACTTTGTTTGATTGGCAAAGCTTCTTCATGGCCAAATTGGTTAATTTATGTTGTGCAAGTACATATATATATATCTCAGGGAAAATTTAATTATAGCATAGATATTCTGGCAACTGATGGTTCTGCAACTCTTAATTTAGACAAAATTAAAAGAGAGCAGTTGAAATTACTGAACCTGACAAATTTGCATTCAAATTCAGACAAATTGGTAGTGTTAAACAAAACAAATAAAAAAAACAGTTTATATAAATGCAAAAGAAGGTTGAATGATTGAAAAACAGCAGTGTATACTACATAATATTTTTTCTGGGGACATGTCAAATGTTCATGTGAAGAAAAAAAAGAAAATATTTAGATTCTTTATAAATAGTCATCCCAAAAAGTAAATGAATTCCAAGAAATCTCTGAAAGATTGAAAAAAAAAATGAACAGAGTATGAATAGAATAATTGATTGGACAAGTGTTATTGAATCAGAATTTTCCTTGATTCAGTTGAATTGACAAAATTGTTAATCTGATCACACTTTGAAAAATCATTAGTGCCATTAAGTCAATGTTCAGTCTGTATATTATTATCTATGTCCTATAAAAATTGTTACATTTAATGTATTAAATGTGTATGCAGATATAACAACTATTATGGGATTGAGGTAGTATTTCTGTTTATTCATTATATAATATGACAAAAATAACATAAAAAGGATAATGCTCAGAAGAGATGAATGCACATAAAATAAGAAAATGAAGTAAAAATTTTAAGAAAGAGAAATAACAAACCTGATCTCTGGAGAATGCAGGAAATACTTTGAGTAAATTAAGTTTTTCTAATTCTGCCCATTCTTTCTGAAAATAATAATCTTTCTTTTCACTTCTGCAGCCAAAGAAAAGATAGTTCCCTAAGGAAAAAAAATAATTGCAAAGATTAAAAAAAAAATGTAAAAATCAAAATTTAAACAAAAAAAATAATTCAAACTTTAAAAAAAAAAAAAAAAAAGTTATTTACACTATTTATATTTGAATTATCATCATCATCTTTGTTTTTATCAAAATGTTTCACCCATGGTATATCGATTTAGGTAATCTACAGGGAATTCTGAACTGAACCCTTTATTTAATATATGAGGGTACACTACTCTTGTTCCAACTAAGGATAAGTGTCTATGGATATCGTCTAGCTTTTTATTTTTATTTATCACTGTTCAGTTATTGTTCACCCATTTTCAGTGAGTACAAGTACACTGCACAACCCAGGGACTGAACTCACAACCACTATGCTACCAAATTCATAAACCAATACTTTCAACATAGTACAATTGCTGGAGTAAACTTAGAGCTTTAAAGCTTAGAGCAGCTTCACTGCTGATAAGACTGCCACTGTCACTGCTAATGAAGATTTGCTGTCAGATAAGGACAATAGTCCTAATATAAACAGTGTAAATAATAACTCCTCACCCCAGAAATTCAGACAAAAATTTTAAAAATTGTATTTGAATAAAATCATTTTGATTTATTCAAACAATACTCCTAGTAATATTCTGTAATAACATAATGTAAAAATGTTAAAAATAGCTTACTTTTTTTTGTAAATTTTTATAGGAAATTTAAAGATTCTCCTGAATTCAGATATTTATAAATACTTAAAATTTTGATTGTGTTACCCTACATTATTACTGACAGGTTTACACATGCTATACAAAAAATTGACAACATTGTAGGTCAAGTCTATTTCACATGCAAGTGTTCTGGATATATTTTTTCAACCTATTATTATTATTGTATTTTACTCTTTTCACCTTCCAGTTCCATAAACACCTTGAAACAAAGTTTGTCTATATTTCTGAGATGAGGTATTATGTACAGTATTTACATTAGTCGGACTATTGTCCTCATCTTTGTCGCCATATTTACAACAACGTTTCGGCCGTTTATCCGCCCGCCTTCTTCAGGTGGTTGGAATTTCGAACTGAACCCTTTATTTCGATCACCGGGGTAGACTGTTCTAATTCCACGTGCCATGTTTGATGGATGTCAGTTATCAGACAACAACACTCAGAAAACAGTCTGCCTGCCTTATGTGAAGGGGTTATCAGAGAAAATACAAAGGATCTGCGGTCCATATAACATCAGGACAACCTTCAAAAGCGTGACAACACTTCGCAGGTATCTCTCACGAGTGAGACCCCCCATAGAGAGGAACATGACTAAAGACTGTGTGTACGCTATCCCATGCAGCTGCGGAAAGGAATATAAAGGAGAGACAGGCCGCCCCCTCAAGGTAAGGCTTCAAGAACACCAGAAAGCTGTAACGCGAGGGGAAGTAGAAAAATCAGGCGTGGCTGACCACATATGGAGAGAGAAGGAGATCACCGCCCCTGTGGGATCATGTTGAGATCATAGACAGGGAACACCATTGGAAAATTCGTAAACTTAAGGAATCAGCACATATGCTAGGCCACAAAAAATCTCCTGAGCTGACCAAGCATAGAAATAAATACAATATGGGAACCAGTAATAAGGAGTGCCAGAGAAAAGCAATGATAACAAAGTTGCAATATGAACTCTGGTAAAGACATGCAATGATAACAGCAAAAATTGCAATATGAGCACTGGTAAAAATGATGCTGAAAACATTAGGTTTATAATACTCAGAAGTTCATACCCAGAGATGGCACAGTGGATAAAGGCGTTGGTTAGATCCAGTGACAGACCCAAAGAAGGTGAGTTCAATTCCTGGTTAAGGCAGTGGAGAACTTTCAGAGGGAAAATTAGCAGGAGATAACTGATAACTGACATCCATCAAACATGGCACGTGGAATTAGAACAGTCTACGAAAGTGATCGAAATAAAGGGTTCAGTTCGAAATTCCAACCACCTGAAGAAGGCCGGAGTGTACAACGGCCGAAACGTTGTGACAAATATGGCGACAAAGATGAGGACAATAGTCCGACTAATGTAAATACTGTACCTTGAAACAATTTGGCACTATTGTCACAAAAAAAAAAAAAAAAATAATATAAACAAACAAAAAAACGCTCCCACTTGGTATCACTAGTGCAAGGGAAACAATTCTAGTCCTGTAAAAAAGAGTAACTGAAAATGTTTTACAAATATACTTGGCATATATGGAGAGAGAGAGAGATGAATCACTAATATCAATAATATTAGAAACATTTATATCACTAGTTTTTTTTTTCTATTTCCTTTTATCTGATTCATATCGAAATCTTTAACAGCCAATCTAACAAATTTAAATAAAGAACAATAAATAAGAGAAGCAGTTTTCCTTCTTGCTTTTATCAAATTCTTGGAAAAAATGAATTGAATTTTCTTTAAGTAATTTTTTAATCCTTTGTTTTCTAATAATATTTCAAATGACGAGAAATCCTTTTTACTCAGTTATAAGAAAAATCTAGTCTCTCCAAGATAAAATAATATATTGCATTTTTCTTTGGTAAATTTACTAGCATTTTAATCAAGTATTCTTTATTTTAGACAGACATTGATAGAAATACTTGTAAAATTTGCAATATCTGACTAAAACGACTTAATTGCATACCTTGAGGAACAGAAACACTTTCATTCATAAACAATGTGGATTTAGGAAAGAAAGATTTAGAAATCAGAAGAATTTCTAACCTCCAATTTTCTGAGATATTCTCTCTTGAATAAAGGACCTGAAAGGAGCAATACCAGTTCCTAAAAATAATGAAAATAAAACAAAATGATTTCAGTAGAAGAAAACCAGAGAGCTAGGTCACTCAGCATAGATTGTATATATACAAGGAGGTGCTGAAAAGTTCTTAGTCCAAGCAACAAAACATTAAAAAAAAAAAAATCACATGTCTAATCATTCTGTTAGATTTTAGGAAACAGATTGAGCTGAAAACTTTTATCATTTTTTTTTTATAATTCTAAATAAAACTTTCTAGGATGGACTTTCTCTTTTATCAAATCTGCTCCTTAACAGAGAAAAATCAATCAGGGATTTTCTTGATAATATGTTCTCTCGTGTACAAAGTGTTGCATGGGCTACTGTTGATTGTTGTTGGTCTTGTTTTGAGTCGAACAAGGATATTTACTACTAATCTCTTTAGGGGAAAATGGAAGGCATTGTTTCATCTGACAGCAGGTGAGAGAAAGAAAGAGTAAACTATCCTTAGCATGCCCAAAATGAGGGATAAAACACCATCATCAAGCAAATTAGAATACAATAACAACAATGGCAACAATTAAGTGAATGAGAAAAAGCACTATCAGAAGGGTTAAAGAGTTTGTAAAGAGTCTGGACAAAGAAAGTTCTGGAAAATTAAACATTTGTGCATGTACAAATGTGTGAGCATGTGCATAATATATGTAGGTGTGAAGATATTGTGAGTTACCCCACTTGGCTTTGCCAAAAATGCCTGTTAGGCAGCACTGTTTAAGTTTATAAAATGACAAACATTTCCTTCCTCTTTGTTTTTCCTCCTCTTGCTCCATAATGTAGCAGGTCATAGATGAGAACACCCACTGGAGTGTGTTAATTTCCCTGGTTCACTGAACTCTAACATACTCACAGTATGCAGGTATTATCTTCAAAATAGCAACTGTTCTAGACTTTTCTTGGGCAGCAGTAGCAAAGACATACTAGGAATATGTGAATTGAGAACAAATGGTATGAGTAAACTGCAACTGTATCTACAAATGATGCAAGAATGGGATTGCTGGTGATGGACAAGGATGGTAAGTACCCAATGAAGAGGAACCTTAACATCAATTGACATCACATTTCAATGCTGGAGCTGTTCAAACCATCAGTTAACACACTGTACAGCATACATTACATTCAATAAGGTTTCATAGTTGTCAGTCAAAAAGATCATTATTATTCATGCAATAGCATCAGTTACTGTATATTACTTGGGCCAGTAAACATTGCCATTGGACAGTGGAACACTGGGGCTATTGTGTCTGGTCAGATGAATCCTTTTACAGCTCTTTGAAATGGTTGAGTTTATATGGAGACTGCATGAGGCTAAGGGTTCAACCTGTCAGCAAGGTATTGTGCAAGCTCATTCACTATCTGGTTTATTAACTTCTCTTTTAATTCAAGGGTTGGGTGTTTTAGATGAATGCTTCATTGAGGCATGGTGGAGTAATGGATAGTGGCTCGGATTGAGAAATCAGGGAGCCAAGTTTGAATTCCAGTTGAATCCATTACATTCACTTATATGCTAACACCCTTGGGAAAGGCATGAATTTTCTTTGTCTTCCCCAGCTATAGGTAAATAGCAGGACAAACTGGGTTATATAGCCTTGGATGGCAACTGGTCTACTGCAGAAAGAAACAGCAAACTACAGCAGGAAAAAATCTGCCTTGTCAGTCATGTATCAAAAGATACATGATCACCTAAGCATGTATCATGCATGGCACATAACTGACTGTTTCATTGTACTTCTCCAGCCATCTATAGCCATGTTTTTTTTCACCTTCAATTTCTTGAGGTCATGCTAACACCTTCTCTCCATGTTTTCTGTGACCATTTTTTTGATATGACCTCTCAACACTCATCTTTGAACACTGCTTCAACCATGAATTCATTGTACATGTCCAAACTATTGGTCAGTTAACAATAAATCTAGAAGAGGGATGCCTAAATGTCTGTACAAAGACACGGGATATGTTCAGTTAGAATCTTTTATCAGGCATTATATACATAGATCTTGTTGCAGACCAATTATACCCTTTTATGTTCACACAATTTTTTGTGGTAATTTTTCTTTCCCTATCAACATGAAACTGTTTTCAGGAACTTGGTTGACTTCTAAATAATTTTCTTTAAAGTTACACAGACATGATTTTAGTATGAAAAACTGAAAAAAATAAAATAATGCTTTTACAAGTTTACTTGATAGTATAAATAAAAATATCATTCTTACCTGGCCCCACCATGATAACTGGAATATCAGGATCTGAGGGCAAAATAAACGATCCAGGTTTTATCCACACAGGCAGACAGACATCAGGAAATTCTTCAGGATTTTGGATGGCAATCCAATTTGAACAAACTCCTTGTCGAGGTTTGACAAGTTTAGTTTTGTACTTCACAACAGCCACAAGAATATCTATTTCTGTTTCAGAGATCTGAAAAACATAGTCACAAAATGGAATAATAAAGTATCATGACCAAAAAAAAAAACAACAAAAAAAACAAAGAGATTTTACCCTTGTAAAAAATGTTAAAGAGAAAGTCTTGTAATTAATCATTATAAGAAAAAAAATGCATATTAACAAGTGAGTTATTAATGCAATTTTAAAGGCAGTTGTGACATACATTAGGATTTCTGCAACATATCCCCATGCGTGTTAATTTTGACTTAAGCTCTGTGCTAGAAGGAAAAAAAAAAAAAGAGAGAGAGAAAACAGGAAGTGTGCTGTTTCTATAGTTATTTAACAATGCTACTTAATAATGTCTTGGCTAAAATGGCAAAGCCATGTGAAAGTAATCCAACAACCTTATAGCAATCACCTGGCTTTGAATTACTATAATGTCGTCCTGGGTATGAGATAATAAACTGCATCTTGCAGCAAAACCTGGAAGTTTTCAGGAGCCTGAAAATGCCTCTTAATTGCTGTTCCCAGGTCCATTCTGACCTGAACTAGTAACACTTGTTAGGGTCCCAAGCTATGGGCAAATAGTTAACCCACAAACTGGGATCAAAATGCTATGAAAGTATAAAAATACATTTTTATTCAGGGTGATTGAAAAATAACTCCCTATTTTATGTATGAGTGGCCAACCAGGAGTCCTGACTTAACACCTTGTGACTTTTTTTTCCTTTGGGGTCGGTTAAAGTAGCAAGTCTACTATACCAAACGAAGACTTTAAAAGAACTTGAAGGGTGAATACAAGAAGTTATGTCTTCCATACCACAAGAGTTCCTGGTGAAAACAATTGACATGATTCCTGAACATCTTGAGAAGCTGGTAGCGAAATCCAGTGCTCATATCGCATTTTAAATAAAACCTTATGTTAAACGCTTTCTTCTCATATCCATTTCTTGTAAAAATTATAGTTAATAGATAAATTATAAGTATTTTAAAATGGGGAGTTACTTTTCAATCACCCTGTAGTAAAAATACCAGCAATACATTTTTGTAAAAGAAATTACTAACGCTCTTAAGAAAATTAAATTTTGGCATTAAATGACCCATACAGATTTGATATGCTGCTAAACAAACCATATATATTAATTATTATAATGTATATCAGTAAACTCACTCTTTGTGAAGATGCAATTGAAAATGCTCGCGGCTGTAGGTGAGGAATCAAGTCAAATAAGTATTCAAAAGGAATATTGGGTGTTGTATGTCTGAAGTCTTGAAGAACCTACAATAAAAATGCACAATTTTTCAATACAATTCTTATAGATTAGATAGAAAATTTAAAAAATAAAATTTATCAAAGAAGGCTAGTTTGATAGGATCACGTCAGATGGGACTCAAATCTTTTTTGTAGAAGAATAAAATTGTTAATAAGCAGAAGATGAAACAGTTTTATAGATTGAACAAATTCATTTGATTTAAAAATGTTCATTAACAAAGTGCTACAGTTAGAAATATCAAAACTTAAATTTTTAATATGCAAGATTATGTTGATTGTGTATGTAGCAGTAACAATGATGTAAATTGTGTAATTATTTCAAACAATGCTGACAACAAAATAAAAGTCAACTAAAATATAAGATTTGTGTCAAGACTGCTGATAGTTGAACAATGTTGAAAACGAGTAATCAGTGAAGTACATCAAATTTTTTATTGAAGACTGGATAACTCAGATTGGTTATCAAAATTTATCAAAAACACAATCGGCTCCAAACTGGGTGTAAAAATTAAGAATGACTTCTAACTGAGCCTATAGATTAAGTCAAGTCAGTAGGTCATTGTGCAAGCTCATTTACTATCTGGTTTTTTGTCTTTTTTTCTTGATTCAAGGTTTTGGGTGTTTTGGATGACCACTTTATTATGATTCTCTAGACCATCTAGAACCAGGTCTCCTTTCAATTTCAGTGACCTCATGTCTCCTTTCAAATTCAATGAGGTCAACTTCTTGAGGTCATTGATGTTTATCTTGATTATGTATATGTGTATGTACTAACAGTAACAACCATAATACAATAATAGATAAATTTGGCTGAATATAATGTAAACTGTATCATTATTTCAAACATTGCTGATAACAAAATAAAAGTGGACTAATTTATGTGTAGATACCACTGAGAGTTGAACAATTGGTAAAGTTCACAAAATTTTTACTGAAGACTGGATACCTGAGATTTGTTATTGAAATTTATAGAAAACAATCGGCTCAAATCTGGCCCTAAAAATTAAGAATGACTTCTAATTTATCATTCGTTAAAAATATATTTTGTTAATTTTTTTTTACTCAACAAATTAAGAGGGGAAAAAACATGAAGACTTCAATTTTTCTAAATGATATTGTCTTCAAATGTCAGAAAAATGTAGTATTTTCAAGGGATCTGATTGTTCAATTCAAATTTCAATGCCTTTGAAGTCACTTTTTGCAGGAAAAAAATGTCAACTTTGTTACTGTAGAAAAATATAGGTTTGTCACAAACTCTTATTAATCTGTTTAGAGAGAGAGAAATCTGAAAGAAATACTGAACAACTGTGGTTATTATAAATTGATTCATTCAGATCGTTTTATTTATATTTATTATCTTTTTTTATTAGAAAGTTTTGGCTGCTGTACCTCTTGGCTTTCCTTCCATCTTATTCACTAACCTTCTAGAAATACAAAAACCCTTGAAGTAAGCTGATCACATTCTTATACTTACTTGTGATAAAGATAAAACTGGTCTGAATGAATCAATTTATAATAGTAACAAAAATTAAGAGAAAAAAACATTGTTTACATCTAAAATAATTCAATAAATTTACCATATATACACAAATTTTCATGATGACTTTTTAATGCAAAAAAATTTTTTGAAGCGGTTAAAAATCACGCAATTTTTGGTAACTAGTTTGACAATACACAGGTAATTTTTTCTGGAGGGGTTAAAATTAATGCAAAAGAATTCAGAGGTTACACTATACATGAAGTTGGATTATGCACCAGTATATATGGTAATTTGTGTCTCAGTTATACTTTCTATGGAAGTTGTAAAGAAAAAAATTCCTCAGCATTTGTCAAGACATTTATGATCTATGTATTTTGTTAATTTTTTTTTTTTTTTTTACCACATCTATACATTGTTTACTTACTTCTAGGGTTGTTCGGCGTACTCTGTTGCAATAGTCATACCGTTCAATCTGTTGGAGAGATATAGAATTATCAAATTCAAATCTGTGGAGTTCTTAAAAAAGAATTAAAGCTAAAATCTTTGCTTTGAACAAAAACAACTAATGTGGCAACAAACATGAATTGCTACATTAATTATTTATTAAATATGCATGCATATTATGAAAATATCAATGTTTTAAAAATAATTCAAAGAAGCTGTTTTTTTTCCATTGCTTTAGGATAAAGAGCTGTGAATAAAAAAAAAATAGAAACTTTTCATACGAATTTCTATTTTACAGAAGAAAATGTCACTAATTAATGATTTTTCCATATTTCCAATTCAAAGAAAATTTGTGCCTTATTAATTGGTCAATTTATGGTTAGAGGGTACTTTTAGTCATTAAAAATATTAAGTTTGTGAAATAAAAAATAAAAAGATACATTAAGAATATTAAAAAAGAGGATTCTTTTTTTTGTTTTTTTGCTGAGTAAAATATTTTAAATTTGTATACATTTTGTCAAAACGGTTTTTTTTAATTAAAATTTTTGCTAGTTAGAGAATTTACCTGACCAGCAGGAGAACAAAATTCTGCAAATTTTTCTTTTTCCATTTCATCATCAGAGAAGTATGAAAGGAGTTCAAAGAAATAACGCCGTGGAATGCCATCAATGTCCAAATATTTCTTTACTAGATTATAAACACTGCAAGGTTGTGAAAGTTTTTCTGGAAGGGGAATGTCTGAAACAAAACAAATCACTGATCACTACAACAATGCAAAGTTGAATGCTATTGTTTGTTGCAAGAAAACAATACGTTTTTAATTATGTTTGTATTTGTTTGTTTCACATGTCCAGCAAACATTTTACAGCAGAAGTGTTCTAAAAACAAGTCTTCCAATAATAGATTGCAAACTTTGTTTTTTTTTGTTTTTTTTTAAATTCCAATGAACTTGTTTTTGAACAAATAAAGCTGAAATAGAGAGAGTAATATCTCAGCTATCTATCTCCAAATTATTGCTTATTTCACCTATATAACTTGTGTAAAAATTTTAAATACTTCATAAACCTTTGGTACTATCACTTATTGTGTCAAGTACAAGAGGACAATGTGTGGAAATGGTTTTCATGTAATGAACAGATAAACAATATTATTACTTATATGTTTTTTTTTGCCTGACACTATATATAAATGACCAAGGAGTCAGTATTTATCAAAGATCCCAATATGGGCATGAAAGTTCAAGAACCATTTGATAGGCGACAATAAAAGAAATTAAACAAATGGAACAATTTCATCTAAATATGATTTTCCAATGAAAACAAGAAAAAAAAAAGAAGAGGAAGTTATCCAAAAAACTGATACATTACACAATAAATTGTGGGATCCATTGGTCTTAGACCTTGGATCTACATCCTAAAAGTTATGCCAAAGCTGCTGATGGCAGTGCAGTATCTGTTATGGTCTTACAGGCCCACACAAGAGTGACAGTCTTAATTGTTACTGATGCAGGTGAAGACACTATACCACAAAGTTGCTGTGTTGTTTTGTTTCCTTTGAGCATGATTCTCTGCCTCCCATCAGTAGACTTGCTTCCTGTGTTTTGCAATAATGGTGAGAAGAGGGAGTATCCTCTCCAGGGCACAGACCTGGGAAGGGTTTTATGAGAGATCAGCAGTTGTCTATGCAGCATGTCTCCCCTCTCCACGGCACCAATGTCCAAGGGCAAAGTAAAGTCAATACAGCTTGGCACTGAGATCATTGCATGAGTTGCGAGAACAAAGTTGAACATAACATCAGACTGTCTTAGGGATCTGGCTCCAGATTTGTCCTCAGATATAACTTATCTATTAAAAAAAAATCTAATAATTGCACTGAAAAAATACATAGTTTTCCTCTTGGCAGAAAAAAACTCTTAAACACTGATGTTTTCCCTCAAGTTTATGTTATTTCTTTTAATAATAGTTTAAGTAAAACAATCAACATTTTTTATGCTATGTTCACTTTAGAAACAGGAAGGAAATCCAAGGCACACAATACTTATATTTTTCTACCAAATGTCTGTTGAGTGATATGCATATAACTCCCTCCATGGATTCTGATATCATCTCTACACTGGATCCTCACAAAGCATGTGGACCTTATGGAATCCCTGCATTAGTCCTTAAGAAATGTGCTCCTAAATTAGCTCTTGTTCTTTCTAAACTCTACAATAAATGTCTGGCTGCTTCTTGCTTTCCAGCTTGTTGGAAGTCCCCTTTAAGAACTTGAGTGAACTGTCTGATCCTTCCAACTATTGATCTATTGGCCTTCTACCTCTTTTTGACAAAGTACTAGAGGCCCTCATCAACTTGGTTAAGCATCTCATATTTCAGGGTCTTCTTCCAGATAAGCAATATGGCTCTTGTTTCTCTAGCTCAACTGCTGATGTTTTAACAATTATTGCTGAAAGAGTCTGTCATGATTTAGATAGGTATGGTGAAGCTTGGACCATTGCTTTGAACATCTTGAAAGCATTTGACATTTGAATGAAAATGGTCCAGAATGGCCACTCTTCTAAATTTTCTTGTACTAATGCAGGTATCCCCCAGGACCTACTATATTCCTTATTTTCATCAATGACCTTCCTGATAGCATCAGTTTTCAATTTGGTATCTATGCTGATGATACAACTATCTACACTTGTCTTAATGGTAAGTGATCAGTTTGATAAGGTTAAATTGGCAGCTGATCTCAAAAATGACCTACAATCTGTTTTTTAACTGGGGTAAGGAATGACTTGTTAATTTTAATGCCACCAAAATCAAACTGTTCTTTATCAAGCATCTGAGAGACCCCCCTTCTGTCTTCTGTCATCATGGCTGATGCTAACCTCCAAGAGAATGACATTGTGCCTTCTCAGGCTAGCATTTTCTGCAGTGGAAAGACTATGTTGAATCCATTGCTCGGTCTGCTGCTAAGAAAGTGGATTCACTGTGTTGTGCTAGACAATTTTTCCTGCCAGAATCTATCTTACATATTTATAAGCCTCCCATTCATTCATCCTTTGAATATTGCTGACACATATGGTCAGGTGACCCTACTATACATTGAGAGATTCTTGATAAAATCCAAAGTAGAATCTGCAATGTTGTTGGTCCTGATCTGGTATTTTACCTTCAGTCACTGCCATAATTTAGCTTCCTTGTGCCTTTTCCATAAATACTTTCATGGTAATTGTTCTGATCAACTTTCCTCTATGGCATCTAGACTTTATAATTTTAAGCGCAGAACTATATTTATAGCAAGGTCTCATCATTTTACAGTTGAAATGGCTAGATGGAACTGTAAATTCTATTCTAAGTTTCTTCTATCGCACTTAATTGTGGAATACTCTCCCAGCTTCTTGCTTCCCAGTCAACTCTAATCCTAAAAAATTTAAATGCAAAGTCAATATTCTTCTGTCTTCTTAATCCTAGTTCTTTTATTGTTTTCTTTCTTAATAGTATTTTTCTCATACTCTCTTAACACTCAGTAAATCTCAGTGGTGAATTGATTAGAAAAAAGAAAAAAAGGAAGTTATTTTTAAAAATACCACCTAACTCAGTAGCACTCCTCAAATCTCTGTACAATATCAATCTTTTTTACAGTTATTTCTGTAGTTGGAGGTTGCATAAAACAATATCCAATTCCCTCCACCTATGAAAAATATCTCAAAATATTAATGGTTTTCATGTAAAAGACTATGATGTACCCGCAATCATGAAATCATTAATTTTAACTCCAAAATGAAACTTATCTCTCTTAATCATCTTAGAGAATCTTTTTTGCCTTCCATCAGTATGGCTGATGCTAACCTCCAGGAGAGTGATGCATTGCACCTTTTCAGGCTAATTTTTTCCACTGACATGAAGCAGAAAGTTTATAATTAGATCAATTGCTAGATCCACTGTTAGGAAAGTTGGTTCACTGCACCAGAATCTATCTTACATGTTTATAAATGAATCATGCATTGACTATTGCTGTAGCATCTGGTCTGTTGCTTCAATGTATTTAGAGGATTCTTGATAAATCTGCAATATTATCAGTCCTGCCCTGGCATCTCAGTTTCCGTCACTTTCCCACCACCATAACATAGATTCCCTCTACCTTTTCTATAAATATTTTCATGGTAATTGTTCTGATGAGCTTTCCTTTTTAGTACAAATTTAAGCACAATACTAGATTCACAATTGAAATTCTTTTCTTGCATTTCTTGCTTGTGGCACACTCTTCCAGCTTCTTGTTTTCGAGCCGACTTTGATCTTCAAAATCTTAAATTCAATGTCAATCATTAGCTTATGTCTTCTTAATTCTTGTTCTTTTATTGTTCTCTCTCTTTAATAATGTTTTTCTTTTTCTCATATTCTTTCATACTTATTAACCCTTTGCATCTTAGTGGCTGTATTGCCTTGCTTGGGGTAAAATGATTTGAAGAAAAAAAAAAAAGAAAACTAATTAATCAGTTAAAATTCTGAAAAATGGCTTAAACCCAAATATCATTTCTTTGAAAATTAAACAATTATCTCAAAGTAGGAACAATCAAACAGTGTTCAAATACGACTTACCTGGATCATTCTGTTTGAGGATAAAATATTTGTTGGGATCAAGTCCAAGACATTCAATAAACTCTTGCACTGAATCTTCATGGTTCTCAGGCTGCACCATGATGATATCACCAGGAGAATATCTGGGAAGAACAATATAAACCAGTTGTGAGGATCCTTTTACAGCACCCCAATAACTAGTCTGGTCTTAGGACTTTTGCATTTTCTTCTCATTTACCATTCTTACTACAGCATAACTTTTCACAAATCTTTGGATCAAATCTTCTGCACTCAATTTGTATAAAAAGCTGTTAATGTAATCACAATAGTAACATTTTGTATCAGCTGATTAAAAAAAAAAGATTGGAAAATGTGCATCTATATATGAAGACATTTGCTTATATATACTTACACATGTCTGTGTGTAATGCTTCCAATACTTTATACAATATATTAACTCCAATGTCACAGGTTGTCTGACTGCAGATAGTTTCATTAATGCTTTCATTGATATAGAAAAACTGCCATTTAACATTGGGATGCCCTCATAGGGGTTTTGATTGCCTATAAGGAGACACAAAGCACTACTCTACACATCCCCACAGTTTTCATCTGACTCAGATTATAATTACGTCTCATCCATTGTCTAGTATCTTTTGTATGACACCATTGTAGTTCAATGCCAAAAATCTGGTCTGTTAGATTCTGCTGTTAATGCCAGCCAAAATTTTGCTGCTGATGTTTTGATAATGCTTAATCTATTTTTCTATTTTTTTATTACTTCAAATATTATAGTGATATTTGATATTTGAAATAGATACCAAATTTTTATTTATTTAAAATCTTAAAGAAAATTGTAAAAAAAATGTGTTCCCTGGCAGGGATTGAACTTGTGTCCCAACTTTGTAGGAGAAACCAATGTTTGATCTAGTGTGCTTCACCAATCAGTCACAGAGAATGTTGCAGCAGGCAAAGTTCTAGTTTCCCTATATTTTAAGGAACCACATCCTCTTTTCACTATATATATATATATATATATATATATATATATATATATATATATATATTTATTTATTAAAGACATTTTATGTGTTGTTATTTATAGATACAAGTATTTAAGCAAATGCTCTGTTTATGATAAACAGTATTAAATAACATTTACCGCCTGAATGTCCGAGAAATTTTCATAGAAAATATTCGTTCTTTGACAGGATTTGAACCTGCATCCTATACGGAACCGTCATTTACGCTGACGTGACGGGCCGGTAAATGTTATTTAATACTGTTTATCATAAACAGAGCATTTGCTTAAATACTTGTATCTATAAATAACAACGTTAAACATAAAAATGTCTTTAATAAATAAATTGTTGGACCTTGTCCATTTCTTAATATATGACGTCATTTGTTTACATTTGATACGCCAGAGCAGTTATGAATGTACGAGATTCATGGAAGATTGAAGTTTATAAGCAGTAAATTCGACCTTGTCTACTGAAAGGTTCTTTGTGGCCGAGACGGTTAAGGCACGTCAGTGTAAATGACGGTTCCGTATAGGATGCAGGTTCGAATCCTGTCAAAGAACGAATATTTTCTATGAAAATTTCTCGGACATTCAGGCCGGTAAATGTTATTTAATACTATTTATCATAAACAGAGCATTTGCTTAAATACTTGTATCTATAAATAACAACGTTAAACATAAAAATGTCTTTAATAAATAAATTGTCGGACCTTGTCCATTTCTTAATATATATATATATATATATATATATATATATATAAAATAGAATACCATACATATATGAATATGTGTGTGTACTAGATGGCCACTGACACAGTTACAAGATTTACACACCTTTTGACAGGTTTTATTTTTCATCCTATTAGACATCTAATCACACACACATCATCAGGCAAGTCTGATTAGCACCGATCAAAACTCATGATGTTTTAAAATATAAGAGTTATATTAATGAAGTCAAGAAGAGAAGAATGACAAAACAAAAGAGGAATATTTTTCATAAATAATACTGTCATTTGATAAGTTATTAAATATTAAGGATTATTATGATCAAGTGTATTTAAATTTAAAAGTGTATTTTTATTTTGGATAAACCAAACACATTGACTCAAAATTTTGGTCTCTATAAGCAGTTGTTTCTATTAAACAGAATTGTATAAAAACGACAAAATATTGCATGTGTTTAATTCTGTTTTTGCAAAAAAGTCCTTTATGACACTATTTTCTTTGCCTGGTCCTTTGTCCAATGTTCCATCTAATCATTGTGATTCCTTTTTTTATACTTTGAGATGAGTCATTAACATTTGAAACTTTGTTCAGATAACTGAATACATTTGTGCTGTTGATGTTGGTGCCAAAATGTTTTATCTGGTCCATTTCACAACCTTCTTTAGAATTCATAAAGAAAAAAAAGGGATCATTTTTTTCTCCTTTTTTTATTACAATGTATAGATTCATTTGTTCTATTAAGAAAATTAATACTCTTTTCCAGAATTTGCCTTCTCTAATAATACTTGTCTAGCATAAAAATTCATGACAGTTTCCAGAGTATCTGCAATTTTCTATTAGCTGAATATGAAAAATATTCACAAAAATATAAAAAATAAATAAATTAGATAAAATTAAAAACCACACATCTTTCAAAAATACAGAAAATTTAATGTAAAATGATCATGTTCAATGCAAAAATGCTGTATCTAAGATAAACATTTATATTACTTACTTGAAGTTTGAATCAGTAACATCAAGTTTCACAAATCTGACGTCTTGGTAATGATCAGCAGTAGTTACTCTCTGGTTTATCAGCACTTTAGACAGAAATGGGTTGGTTTGGTTAAATATTTTTGTGCCTTCATGTACAGTAGGAGGTACAGAATTGAGATCAACCTCAGGTGAGTTCACATATTCTATCGAGTACTTTGAAGGTAGACTGTTTAATGAAAGATAAAGGTTTCAAAACAGTTAATGTCATTGTCAAAACAACAGTAAAAGTATTGACAAATAAAAATGTTCTCAGTCCATCCAACTTCCAAAAATCTTGCCAAATGACTAAATATCGAAATTTATTTTGAGATGCTGAGTATTTTTCAGCACCTCCTTGTAATTACCATTTGATCTTCTAATTAATATTTAGTCTTTTCTTCTTATTTTCTTCAACTATTTTGCCTTAGAGTGTCATTTACATAGCAAATATTATTACAGTTATGTTCATCAATAATGAAATCTGGTAGGTCCCCAATTCTTAAAATCATCTCACTGTACAAGTTAAATCTTTTTTCCTTTTTTTTTAATCAATTCACTCCAAGAAAGGTGATAATGTCACTAAGATGCAAGGGGTTGCTAGGAATAAAAGAGAATCAGAAAACTTTAGAAGGGATCAGAAACCCAATCCTAAATAAGAAACAAAGGATAAATCTCTACTCCTGTTCAAAAGACTGGGAAAGATTATGAACCAGATGATAGGTGAACCTATCTACTCCTATCAAATCTGGTAAGAAAACATATACTTGTCACACTCCTCTATTTGGTATACTCACTAAATGTTTGTCCTATTTGCAAACAAGCCATTTGATCCCAATACAGATTGCAAATTATTTATGATATAATAGAATAACCAGTCACCCCCATGAATGATTACACTATAAGTAGTAAGTACCTATAAAGTCAACTGTCTACAAGAGACTCAAAGATGAGTGACAAGACACAAGCATGTCCGACCTTCCAATTAGTGGCACTTACTGTGTGTATAACTGTACCGTATTTCATATTGTACTTGTTGTATACAATAAACCTTTCTTCTATTATCCACCTGGTGTTAAATATTTATTCCCTTAGCATGTATAACAATTTATATATCCTTTTTATGTAGATCATCTTGAGATTCTTGACAAAATCCAAAGGGTTTGTAATGTTATCAGTCTTGGCCTGGCATCTCAGCTCCAGTCACTTTCCTACTGCTATGACAGTTTCCTTCTGTCTTTTCTATAAATATTTTCATAGTAATTCTTCCAATGTGCTCTCCTCCTTGGTACCTTGACCACACAAATTTATTCATGCTACTAGAGTGTCTACTAGGTCTCATTTTTTTTACTGTTGAAATAGCAAAAGATGTAACTGTAAGTTCTATTCTAATAGTTTCTTTTCTTGCACTTCTCTCTTCCAGTTTCTTGTTTCCATGCCACCTACAATCTTCAAAAATTTAAATGAAGTGTCAATCACCATCTTCTGTCTTCCTGAATTCTGTTCCTTTATTGTCCATTCTCTTCACTAAAGTCTTCTCTTCCTCTTCCACTCCCAGTAACCTCTTGTGTCTTAGTGGCATTATCATCTTGCTTGGGATGAGATGATTAAAAAAAAATAAGATCAATTTTTTCTAAAATTTCAAGAAATCCTTTATGCTGTACTTTATCAAATGCTTTTGTGTAAATCTATGAAATACAGGTACAGGTCATTTTGTATTTCTATTGCTCATTCAGACAGTATTCTGACTTTAAATATTGCATTTCTTGTTCCAGCGTCTTAAAAACAGTTTTATTCCCTTATTTCAAGTCTAATTCTCCTATGAGCTCTATTAGAATATTAATTATTAGTTATATAAATAGAATATATTTTATTAGGTTTTTCTTTGCTGTTGTCAATACTCAATTCTACTGTTGTAGTCCCTTTTCTTTTTCCATTATAATGATTCCTCTATTCCACATCCTGGTGATTTCTTTCTTTCCTATCCTTGATCTTTTTGTACATGCTCACTGTATTTGGGTCGTCTTTCAGTTTTTGATCTCTGTACATTTTCTATTTAGCCATTCTTTCTAATTCTGTCTAAACTCTTACCTAAGATGGCTTTGTTTAGTCTTTTAAAATCTTAAAGCCTTTCTTGGCTTTATCTACTGTTTCTCTTTCATCTAAACAGGAATTTCCCTCTTTTTCTCTTACCTTTTTTTCTTGAGAACTTCTTTTGCTGTTACCAATGCTTTATTTAAGATGTTCCACTTTGAATTTCAGTCATATTCCAAAGCTTTATACTTATTCTTAAATGTGACTATATATGCTCGTTTGTAAACTACTGTGGAGTTTTCCATATTGTAGTTTGGGCATTTTTGTAACTTTACCTATAGTTTGCATCCTGTTATATACTATACCTATGAACACTAAGGGGTATGTCCAAATCCTCATAAATACGTTGGATACTATTGTAAGTGGGGGTAATATGCTGTCTATGTAGTCCACCACTAGCAGAGGTTTACCTACTTCATGCTGCTGGCAAGTATTGTATTTTGTTGATGTTATAAAGATTGCCATTTCATTTCCAACCTCTGTTTTGGTTATTCCTCATTCAGTAACCTTTTCTAGGTTACAACACATCTAAATTGGAAGTAATTACTCATGCAGTTAGCACTTGGGCAAGTTTTTGCACACAAAACTGCATTCATAAATCATCTAGTAATGGTCAAGTAGTCAGTCTGTTTCTTGATATCATCTCCTGAACATTTTGAAGTTCACAAATTTCTTGGATGTTCTTCGAACCATACTTTGTTTATTCACAATAACTTATTTTGATATATTCTGCCAATAAAACAGTGTCATCAGAAAAACAGATTTCATTTCAGTTGAAATAAAATCCATTTTTTTTGATAAAGTAAAACGTGTCAAAATAATTGACATACACTAACCGTTCTGTTGGATTCTTATCCAAATTTAAATCAATATATAGAATCAACATTAGACGCTTATAAAATACATTATAATACTATTTTTGTTAATCTTTTTATGCACACATACAACTGTTGCTTGTAACAAAATTAAAAAAGAATGAGTGAAAAAAGAATGAGAGAAAGTGGAACAGGAAAAAGAAGAGCAAAAACTTACAGGATGTCATCTGAAAGAATGGTTTGGCCAGGTTCCAGAGGATATAAATACATAAGTTTGGACCAAAGTTTAGTTAACCAAGGATCTATCACAGCATCTGGCCTGAAATTTAAAGATAAAAAATCTTTAAATACAAAAATATAGCTAGAAATATGGAGGACAAAAAAGTTAAAAAAAAAAAAAAAAACTAAATATAGTATACTAAAATATTTTTAGCAAAAGATTTTAAACTAGACAACACTTTTGAGTTTGGCAGAGAAAGAGATTGGTGGCTGAGAGAAACCTAATATTGTATCCTCTATTCCATACATGAACATTTTTTTTATTTGGGGAAAATTAAAAATTTTAAAAATTTGCAATATCCAAGTACTACAAATTTCATAGAAAGAAAACTTAGCCACATTATTTAAATAACAGACAATGATTAACAAATTTTTCTTTTCTACAATAGTATTTACTATTTTTTTTCTTATTTTAGTTTTATTTAAAAAATATTTCTGACAAAATATAATCCCTGAAAGAATAATTATTGCCCTTGAAATATATTTTTTATATTGTTAATACTGATTTTACTATTTTAAATGTAGTTTTACTCTTGAAATTGAGGTGTCCAAAATTAAACTGATTTGATGTTCTATTTTAAAAATGTTTTTGTATATTCTAAATTACAAGTAACAATTCATTAAGATCTTTTAATTATTTGCAGGTAATTCTATATGCAAAATGTATAAAGTATTCATTCATAAAAAATAAGTTAAATTCTATTTTTTTTGTTATACTGAACATTAAAATTTAAATGGAAAGACAAATAATTTGGTTGGTTGTTTTTGTTTAGTGGCAGATCAACTTTTATGGGTTATTTAATGCCAAAATTTAAATATTTTGTAAACAATTTTATGGCTTCAGCTAGATATATTTTGAATGTAATTTTATGCCTTCAACAACAGATATTTTGTACATAATTTTATATTTTCAGGGCAAACATGTTTTTTAGATATATAGTTTGTAGATAAAAAGTATTGTTATATTGTTGGCCATTTTATTATAAAATATGTTGGTAATTCCACTTTAAAATGTATTGTTGGTAATTTCACTACAAAAATGTATTGTTGGTAACTTTTTATAAAAATATATTGCTGGTATTTTTACTATAAAAATCTATTTTTACACTTTCCCAGTGCTCTGACCCTTGTTTGGGGTTTTCATTATTTGCTCATAGCTGGTACCCTAACAGGTGCTAAAACCTCAGGTCAGGGTGAACATGAAAACAACAACAATTAAGAAATAATTCTATGCACCTCAAAGCCTCCAATCTCCTGATCAGAGACCTTGCTGCCAGATGTAGTTTAATCATCATATCCAGGACTATAAGAAGTATCTATAATATTATAGTTATCAATACAAACCCTAATTCATGCTGGTCATCTGCCAATCCAGTTGGTATTAAAGAATGACCACCAAGTTGTTCCAATCTTCTGAACAGTTTCTTTCCAATAAAGTTGAATCTTAAATTGAAAAACAAAATGAAATACATGAAAAATATACAACTGTTCTAAAACAATTTTATAAAGTATTATATTTATGAAAGCATTCTTTATGAAGTCCATCGATGATGATGACGTCTGCTCCACCAAATAAGAATGAGAATTGAAGAAATTACTGGTTGATGACATTATGTTGACGCTGATGGCTGCAAAGACTTAACTTAGATGCACATTGTTATCCACAGGTTGGAAGCTGAATACTGACACCTAGTGGTGCTGGCCCATGCACTAGGCAATCATGATGCTGTTGCTGACAAAATTCCTGGTCTTGATTTTGGCTAGTTTTGAATCTTTCAAATGACCTGACGGCAGACAGTCCTTCAACTGTTGTAATTGGCTGCTCTAGCTTCCAATTCCACAGAATTAATACCATACTGCTTTAACATTGCTTTCAGGTGGTCTTTGAAATGTTTTTTTTGTTTTCCAACATAGCCACTAAACTTCCAAGAGTTCTCTATATTTGGGAGACGGTCTTCAAGCATCGTAATAACATGATCAATTCACCTGAGCTGTCATCGGATGATAAGAGTATCAATGATTCTGCTGTTGGTACGTTGGAGAATATGGACATGTGGTATTCACAATGTACCATGACAATCCGAGAATGCATTAAAGACTGCAGATGTGGAAAGTTTTAAGAGCTCATATGTGAGCTCTATATAGAGTCCAGTATTCAGAGGATGGATAAACATATAGCATTGTACACTGAGACCTTTGTGGAGGTGGACAAGTTCCTGTTTAGAAAGACTTGACCACAAAATTGACCAAAGGCTTTTGATGCTTGATGAATGTTATTTCATAATTTTTCAACAATCCTGCAAGTGGAGGATAGTACTGTTCCTAGATATGGGAAGTTGAAAACACACTTGATGTGCTTACCACCAGCAGAAAATGATGCATCAGTGTTATGATGCATCAGTCTCAACAGCTAGCAGTGAACTTCTGTTTTTTTTTAACTAATCATAAGGTCAGCACTGCTATAGGTTCTGTGGTGAAGGCATTTGATCATTTTCCAAGAAAGGTGATCTGGTGGGCCATGAGAAGCCTTGTAGTTGAGGATTGGGCTAGTTGTGGGGAGTCAAGGTAGAGTCAGTGGCCAATATAGCAGGGAGTTCGGTGTTGTTGTTGGTGTTCATCAAGGCTCAGTCCAGTGCTCTTCATCCTTATGTTGGAGGCACTCTATCTCAGGAGTTCTGCACTGGTTTACCATGGGAATTTCTATGTGCTGACAACCTTGTGTTAATCACTGACACTTTGGATGAATGTGCTGCCAAGCTGAAAACCTGGAAGGCAAGCATGGAGAGCAAGGGGCTCAGTGTCAACATGAAAAAGACAAGTTTAAAATTTCTGGTGTTGACCTGGACAAGTTGCAGGAATGTGGCACATTTCTCTGTGCTGTCTGTCAGTGTAGTGGGTACAAATTTGATCTTGTGCTCCAAATGCAACACATGGGTGCACAAGAAATACAGTGGCATCACCAGTAGGTTAACAGAACAATGAGATTATATTTGCCCTAGATGCCGTGACAAAGCATACCCTATTGATGGCAGGCTCACTACCCAAGTCACTTTGGACAGTTCAAAAATGGATATTGAGCCCTGTTTCTGTTATCTTGGGGATATGCTCTACACAGGTGGAGGTTATGAGCTCACTGCTATAACCAGATGCTCTGTGGCTTGGGGGAAATTCAAAAAGTACCTACCCATTCTCACATCCAAACATGTATTGTCAAGAACTTGTGGCAAATTGTTGTGTGTGTGTGTATGATCTGCATTGCTCCATGGCAGTGAAATTTAGGCACCAAGTGCATCGGTCTTGAAGCGATCCTGCCGCAATGACCACTTGATGATTCGCTGGATCTGTGGCACCCCCCCCTCCCTCATCTGAGTAATTAACAAGGCTCAGTATTGAGGATATAACATCAGTGCTGCACACCCACTGTCTTAGTCACATCCAAAAAGCTTTGTCATGCATCAGGATTGTCTCTGAGTTCAGAGTTCCTGGTCACAGAGGTCGAGGTAGACCTAGGAAGACGTGGAAGGACTGCATTGGGAGGGATGTGCAGGAGTGCAGCCTTGCCCGCATCAGCCTGCTTGACAGGGATGCTTGGAAAGAAGGAGTGAGAGATAGATGACTGCTGCCTACCTCAGTCACGGGAAACCCGCATCAGTATAATCAAAGCTTTGGATCTTGACTATATACTTTCATACTAATGCTGATGTCCACAAGGACTCCATCCTTGGTCCTACTCTGTTTTTAATTTTCACTAATGACCTTACTGATGATATTAGCTTTCAACTTGGTATCTATGCTGATGACAACTATTTACTCCTGCCTCGATAGTAAGGCTGAGTAGTCTGACATTTCATAATGGCAGCTGGTATCCAAAATGACCTAAAGTCCATTGTTTACTAGGGCAAGAGATGGCTTGTTGATTTTAATGCACCCTCCACTATTATGTACTTAAAAAATACATATGTTAAATGAACAAGAAATCAGGTTTAATCCCTGTTTAATCTAAGAGACTATTAATCCCTGTTTAATCTAAGAGACTATTAACTTCCATTTAAAGTGAAATCATTAAACTCATACAAGAAGAGAAAAAATATTTCTGTAATGAAACAAGGTTTACTCAAATTCTAAAATTTAATTTTAAAAAGCAAACATAAAAAAAAATTTAAATTTCTGAAACAAAAATGATTTCCTCAAAATATGAATCTTACTTCTGATATGAAGAATCACCAAGTCCAAGAACAGCAAAGTTTACATTTCCTAAAGAATCCAGAGGAAGACTTTTTTTCAAGATGAATCGCCAGAACATCTAAAGAATAAAATATAGAATAAATAAAATTATATATATACACACAGTGATACCAATGTCTTTTTTTTTAAGCATGTGTTAAAGCAGGACATTGTAGTGTGATGGATAATGGCTTGAAATGAGAAATCAGAGAGCCAAGTTTGGATTCCAGTCAAGTTTGTTACATCCACTTATGCACAAGTAATCTTGGGAATTGTATGTATTCATCTCTTTTCTCTCCAACTATGGGTTGATTAGCAGGACAGACTTAGTCTTATAGCAACCAGTCTACTGTAAGAAGAAATGGCAACCTGCTGCAGGGAAAGCTTCTGCCTATTCAGTCATTAATTGAAAGAGACATGATCGCCCAAGCGTGTACTGTGTATGGCACTTAACTTACTGATTTGTTAAAGCAAGAGGAATTTTAAAAAATAGAAAAAATTAAAATAACAAGATTTTAAATTTTAGTCAATTTATAAATATAAAAATATCCAATCAGCTTTGAATCCTACTATCAACTTATTATTTTCATGTTAAAACAAATATGAAATAATAGTGGAATTAAAATTATCTAATTAATTCATGTTAATGTATAAACATGAAATAAAATTTAAAAAAAAAAAATTACATAATCAATAAACTTAAGAAAACATAAAAACTTGGCAAAATATCAAAAAGTAAAAAAAGGAAAGAAAAAACAAGATTTCCCATTGCATAACGATATATATATATATATATATATATATATATATATATATATATATATATATATGCACCTAGAGGTGGTATAATGGTTAGTAAGTTCGTCTTGCTAGAACATTTACTACTGATTAGTGAGTTCAATCCTCACTGGGTGCCCCTACTTTTGGCCATGTGCCACATCTAAGCTATGCTTGGAAAATCACTATATATATATATATATATATATATATATATATATATATATATATATATATTGTAGCATGAGTGGCCATTGTTAAATATAAATAAATGGCAGAACTGCCCAACAAAAAGAATTGACTAAGTTTGCAATAAACGACAACAAAAAAAAAAGAAAAAAACGGAGCAAAAAATAATATAAAGCAAGCAAACAATATATGCAAAGCAAATTAACAGTAATAAGACAAAGCAACAGTAATATGATGAAAAATTTCACAAACTAAGAATTGGGGTTAACACACAAGAGCATAAGTGAGCATAGTGTTTTGACTTCAAGACAAGACAAACTGGGAATGAGTCATATGAAACCAAGAACAGGCCTATTTTATAGGCTAGGAAGAAATCCCAGCATGCATTTGTATGCTTCTACCTATAAATTGGAGAGAGGAAAGTGTTTTGCAGTCATTCCAATAGGAACTGGACTTTATATATAGCTATTTCACTTGCCTCAACTCTTTATTACATATTTCGTATGGCAGCTGCTCAAAAATAAATTGTTTTCAGAGTATAACTTTTAAAATAATATCTCACAAAAACATGTAAATATAGAGAACTTATTTCATCAAGAGTTAAATTTGCTAGGATCACTTAATTGTATTCATTTAATTTTAATTAATAATAACATTTACCCATAAAAATATGTCCATTATCAGATGAAAATTGGGCTTAGAACTCAATAAGTCTATATTAAAACAATAGAAATATATGCTGAATTCGTAATGCAAATGTTAAAATATAAATGGATTTTAAAGACATTAACAGTTATTAAAAACTAAAGTATGTATACATATATTAGAAATTCTCCCCATTTGGAAAAGGTTTTAAAAAATGCCTATATAACTTTTGTCAATGAGAACATTTTTATATTCTAAAATTTGATAATTTAAATGTAAATAATGGTTAAGTATTTAAAAATATGACACTTTATATTTACAGAGGGTATAACCAAGCATTCAAAATGTTATGCAACTGAGTCCATTACAAAAATAAAGTTTAATTTGATCTAATTTTGTAATAAGCTGATCTAAAATATAATAGTATGATTAATTTTTTTAGTCTTGCACAAACAGTAGAGTTTAGTTTTATTAAAAAACAGAAGTTCAAATTGTCCAAATAAAGATTACGTAGACATTATTGAAAATCTTACATGATATTGTTTTCTATACAGAATCATGTTTAGTATCTTCACATATTTACATGCAAGTACTTAAATCATTAGGTCGGATGATAACAATGAAAGGGAGATAATTAAGAATTTTTTGCCACAATTTAATGTATGCCTACTGGAGAACTTCATTCAATCCATTTTCGTTGTATTATCTAAGAAATTAGGTGCAAATGAATGTGAGCTCCATTGGAGAATCAGTTTAATAACCCACATAACCAAACTAATGATGTGAATTCTGATGAATAAAGCAGAATTAGACTGGAAATAAGACAAGAACAGTCTGGAACAAGAAATGCAATATTCATATCGGAGAGAGCAATACAAATGTCTTATAAATTACACAAAAACATTTGATATAGTATGACACAAAGATATTTGAACTATAAGGAAAACTTGATCTATTTGGAAAGGATGTTAGAATAATACAGAACTTATACTGGGAGCAAACCGCTTGCGTATAGATAGAAAATGAATTGAATAACTACACAAAAATAAAAAGAGGCATAAGACAAGGATGTGTCTTCTCTCCAGATTTATTCAACCTCTACAGCAGGGCAATCCTGAAGGAGCTGGAGACCCTACCACGATTTAATATGGCTGGGTGTAATCATAACAAAATAAGATATGCAGATAATAGTACTAGAAAACTACAGGACCTCCTAGACAGGGTAGTAAAAGAAAGTGAGATAAAAGGACTAATTATCTACTGCAAGAAGACAGATGCAAGTTATAAATTGGCGTTGTTAACATCAAGCAAGTACAGAAGTTTAAATATGTGGGATATGTTTAGTGTAATGAAAAGATGAACACAGGTAAAACTTCTCTGAAGCTTTATTCGACTTGAATTGAGTGTGTCCGAACTGGACATTTAAACACAGAATATGCATAAGGGGTGATAATCTATAACACACTTAGCAAAGGGAAAAAAACCTGCTAAAGACCACCAAGAATAGGAAGTTTTAGAGAGCCACAATTGCCCATGTCCTGAAGAGAATTGGCATGTAAAAGATACATATATACAGAATTCAGTTGTCATTTTATTAAGTAATAAGCTGGAATGTTTTGCCAGCAATTTTTCTGCATCTCACTTTGGAAATATTTCTCAATTTCAATGCTGCCTTATTCACAAATATATACAAACACATGAACATAAAATTAGTAAATTTTTGCCCAATCTGAAAATTTTTTATAGTAATTTACTAAGTGTAGCTTAGATGTGGCACAAGGCCGAAAGTATGGAGCACCCAGTGAGGATTGAACTTACTGCTATTTGTAATTGATTTAGCAAGACAAGTTTGCTAACCATTACACCACATTGAATGTCCAGATTAAGTTTTGATATATCAGAAAGTTAACATACTAAAAATGGGTAATCAAAGTGGGAGTAGTTTTGTTGCCCTGGATTCTTACAAGAATTTTTACTGAATTAGTTTCAAAAATTTATATTAAAAGTAATAAACATATTGAAACAATAACTATGTAAAATAAATAAATATATTGAAAGTAAAAAAAAAAAATTTTATTTATATGCATTTCAATCATTGTTGGAGTCTTACCTTCATGTTGTCTGGAGGATCACCTTGACCAGTTGTAGCACATACAAACACAACAAGTGGTTCATTGATAAGATTAGACTGTAATTAAAAGGTAAAATAATAATAAAAGACTTACTACATATAATGGCATACAAGGCAACCTTTCCCCGCTCTCCCAAATAGGGGGCCATATTATACTTCAGGTATAAAATGTGAACGTTAAATCCTGTGGTTTATGGTGAGTTGTTAGCATGGGAAATTTTTGACGATTGGCTAAACTCTGCCTCGCTTCTTTTTTCAATGATGTTGAACAAAAAACAACTGGATGTGTGTCTCAACAAACCATTTAAAGATTGCATTTGAGAACAGTGGAATGAGAGGATGGTTAGTGGGGAAATATCATTCCGGCTACTTTAATTACCTACCTAAAGCACCTACAAATGAGTTATTGTAGATTGTGGTAGTTAACTGACAATATTTCTCCACTGTTTTTTCATTAGAATTTGAGTGAAAAGAAAGTATATACTTATCGAATTTATTTAATATATTCAATACATCTTAAAATATGATGGAGGGGGAGCTTGCCTTGTATGGCAAATATAACCTGAAATGTACATTTTAACTTTAAAATTTGAGGGTCGCCTTGTATGCCAGCACACACGGTACTTTTTTTAATACCTATTTTTTTAAACATATTTTTAATGTATTCAGTTTTTAATGAATCTGTAGTGAGCCCCTGCCAAAATAAAATAAAGTATGAAAATAATATAAACAAAAAAGATTTCAAATTAAATTAAGGCATTTTGGCTTTTCTTTAAAACCCTTATCTCTTTCTTTCTCTCTATATACTTCTCTCTCAACTAATGAGAAGGCACCATCAAATAAAAAAGAGGGAGGAGAAAAGACTAAACCTGGCTGAAAAATGTTGGAAGTTTGCTGGACCAGAGCCTATTTATTTGTGACTATAAATCTGTCAAAATAAGATAGGCTCCATGCATAACTTCTGCTATATAAAGAAAATGAAAAAGAAAGGAATGCTGAAAAATAAAATAATTTTGGTAAATCCAAAAAATGAACACAAAGGGACTTTTGATGTTAGCTGAAACCAAGCTTTGTGCCAGTAGTCTGAAAGCCTTGTCAAAAAGGATATAAACTAACAGCTCTGAAGCAGAAGAGGAGAAGGAACCACCAGAGAAACCAACCATGCGTTTCATATAAAGAAGTTAAGCGGTCATTTGCTTAAGACATTTTTTCACCTTTTTTAGAGCCAAGACAGCAGATTGATGCCACACCTATTTCCAAGATGACAACTACTACCAAGGTCTGACTTCTAAATGAATAGCAATAAATTCACTACCCAAAATTACAAAGAACTCGCTCCAATCTAAATCAAATAAATATATATTGTTTATTTTATACATTTGATTTTGTTATTTTGTTCATTTATTCCAAAGTTTCTGGCAAATAAATAAATCTTTGGCACTCCCTCCACAAATCAGTCTTTTAATAAATTATCTTTTTAATGGATTTAATAGATTGACCAAAAAGTTTATCCATTTTATCAAGGAACAATAAAAGACAAATTCTTTATTTTGATCAGTGATGTCTTTGAACAACATATTTGCTGTTTTATTCCAGTCTTTAAAAAAAAAAAAAATAGAGGATTCCATTCTCCCAGAATCTCTTATCATTCTCAGCAATCAACTGAGTCTTCTAGAAAATTTTAGTCTTTTTATTAATAGGATTCTGTAAAGATTACATTAAATTATAATCTGAAAGAACAATATTTGATGAATATAGCTGATAACTCAAAACATATCAGCTAAACAAAGAAACATTCAGTCTAGCATTATTCTAATAGACTATTACAGCCATTCCCTTAAGTATTTCTAGACACTCTAGAGTCAATTGCTGCCTTCAATTTTTTTTTAATCAGATCACTCTACGTGAAGCAGTAAAGCCACTAAGATACAAGGAGTTGATGAGTGAATAGGAAAAAAGAGAAACAATATTAAGGAGCGAGAACAATAGAAGAGTAACCAAGAGGACAGTAGATAATGATTGACATTACATTTGAATTTTTGAAGATCAAAGTTGACTGGAATGTATAGAGCTGGAAGAGAGCTCCACAAGCAAAAATTTCAAGAAAAGAAAATGTTAACATAGAACTTATAGCCAATTCAACTGTGAATTGATGAGACCTTTTCAGCAATCTAGTACTGCGCTTAAATTTATAAAGTATAGGTACAATAGCAAAGAGTGATATTTATTTCTGCTATGTACAGAAAATGTGGCACAAGGCCAAAATGGGGAATGGGGAAAAGGATGGTCTTCTTCTGTCTTAATATTAAACTTAGCTAGCGACAAACACTAACCCAAACATACAACAATATTCCTAACACCAAAACAACTTACTTACCTTTCTTATTACATCTACCATAATATCTCAATGACTCTATGAAAATCCTAACAAGTCCCCATATGTACAATTCATTGTCTGTGGGGTGAGAGGAATAAAACAACCATTTAAAAACTATTGCCAATGAGTATTTACAATATGAAAAAAACAAAAAAAAAAACTATTTACAAGAAACCAAATAATGTTAGTAATAAAAAACCCCACAATCCTTAAATGGATGAAATGCAGGACTTTAATAATATAAAATATTCATTCATCCTATGCACTCACTCAAACACACACTCATGCAAACAACAACAAATACGAAAATCACACCTGAAACAAAAGGCGCCCCACATCCACCAGAGAATTGACATCACTGACCACCTAAACAAGGGAGGGGATGGTGAAATAGACTAAAGAAAAATAGGGAGAGAAATAAATGCAAACAGTTCATCCGAACAATTACTATGAATGTATTTATACAAAAGACAAAGGGAAGCTGCATTATTACCTTAATTCTTGATTTGTAATTCCCTGACTACAGAAAAAGAAACATTTTTTGTAACTAAATGTTGTGTAAGCATGTTCGCAGCTTGTCAAATCTTAATCACTGAATAACAGTTTCTTATATTGAATAAAATCATTAATGAATCTGTGAGTAATAAAATAACGTGTGACAGTAGTGTCAATATATATTTTTAGTGGAGAGTAGGAAGTGATGTATAAATCTATAAATAGATATTTGCAAAAAAAGTGTATTAATAAACAGCTATTCATTAATGTGAAGGTTTTAAATGAAAATAAACAGGGAATGTAAGATAAAAAAAAGAACTTACAATGTTGTATTTGTCTAAGGGAAGAACTTTTGTACTGAAGTGTCGCCTCTTTGCTTCTCTACCAATCCTTTCAGCCACTTCTTGTGCAGTTCCTGTTTGACTACCATACAAAATAGATATAAATCTTTTCTTTTCCACCATGATGCTGAGAATAAATGAAATGTTTAAAATTTAACAAAAGTTCTTGTTTTAATACAGAACATTCATTGATCCAGAATCAAAATTTTTAAGGAATATCATTAATCAGTGTTTTGGGTGGAAAAACAATGTTTAAGCCATTCAACTTAAAAACTGCTTTAAAGTACAAAGTAAATAACAATTTTAAATCCATTTACCTTTGCCTTAATAGATTATATTGGACAGTATCCAATGTAGTCTAGAAACCATTGAGATACAATGGTTAAAAATAGCTAATTGGCTTTCTTTATCAACATAAACAAATCTTTTAGGCAATGTCCATTACTCAAACAAAAATAACTTTAATTGAATGACACAAGCCAGAGAAAAAAAATCAAGTAGCTTTTAATATAAAGAATAGAACTTGGATATGAAAAAGACTTTCTTTTGCTTGAAAAATTCAAGTTCATATTTATAATTTTAAGGAAAAGGAAAGACTATTTTGTTTTTTGATGAACAAAGAAGATAGTATACAAAATATATACCCTACTTCAGTTTCAATGAATTCAGATAATTTAGTCATAAATCAATCATGAAAAAAAAATCAAAATGCTAGTATCTTTATCAGACAAACAGCTATTTCTGCAAAAATTATTACTCTTATCACCCCCCCAACAAAACTATGTCTTACTTTTTCCAAAATATAAAGATACGTGAATCAAACTGCAGCCAATCAAAACTCAGCAATGAAAAATGTAATTTCCAACCAATCAGATTTCACAACGTCAACCTGGCCCTGTGAGTCTATCGAAAAATAAGCTTCCAATTTTTAAGGCTACAGTTATTCTTGACCTACGTTTGCATCTTAGCACAAAGAATTTTGGAGCGTTGTCAAATAGTTTCCACCAAATAAATAGCAATAACAAACTAATAATTAAAATAAATTCTTTTCTTTCCTATTACTACATGAAATAGCACACCAGAGACTTTAAAGAAACATACACAAATAAATACACAATTAGTAAATAAACACAACCAAAAATAAACATTTTTTCTGCCGCTCTCAAAACAAAGCGGTTGTTAAAACAAATTAATCTGGTACAATGGCACAGTAGTTAATTTTTGCGCAGTGACGTTTCGATTTCTCCGTTTTTTTAAATGGGAGAACTTGCTCAGCCCCGGGATTCCAACCCTGCGGCAGCACCTTCCTCATTTGAGTAAGAGCGGATAGGTCGATATCAATGACAGCGTGACAATGGTCGCGAGGACTGAGGAAAAAAAATGTCCTTGGCCCATATGCATACGTATGTGTATGACGCTCCCGACGTTAAAACGACCTTGTGTCATATCTTGCCTTAGTGGGGAGACCGGGTAAATATACCTAGTCAATGAAAGTTGAAATAATTTTTGAAACTTTTCCTTAAAATGTAAACTCATTGTCATTTAGAACAATTTGTAGCAATTACTACCACTTTACTTTCTAACCTGCCCATCTCAACAAAACGGAGAGATCTCTCATTTTTATTATTATTATTATTAATTTTTTTTTGAATGACGGAAAAAAAGTTAGAGAAACTCAAAGTTGGACTTTTGTTTTAACCTTTTACGTCGTTACGACTGTAATATTAATACTACACACGCATTTATAAAAGTTGAATTATATTCCACATTTAAAAACAAATTGAAACTAAAACGAAGCAGATAGTGTAAGTGAAGTTATTTATTACAAATAAATGTTTATTTTATCTTTTATTGTCATGACGTCCGTAAAAGCGTTTAAAAAAAGTTTTAAATTTTTTAAACAATTTTTTTATGTAACGTGCAAAAATAAAATCGTTGTGGGAACGAAATGTGTACAGGAGTTACTAACTCGTAGCAAAATGAAACCATCAGATCAGCAGACCAGTAAGTTTTGTCAAGACTCAAGCAAGCAAGAGTAATTAATTATTTTGCGTCGGTTAGTCCAATTGAAAAATGAAGACATAATTTCCCCACCAAATGAAAAAAAAAATGCGATATAAATGTATTTCAATTTTTTTTTTTTTTTTGTATATTTTATTCAGTTAAGAAGACTTTCAAGAATGTTGCTGTAAAACAGACACAAGAAGAAGAAAAAAAAAAGTAGCCTCCGTTTGGTTTGTTGATGTATGTCTTTTTAAAGAAAGACAGTAAAAATACTTTTTTACGTCATACACATTTTGGATACAATTTCAAAACAATATCGTTCACTTCAATAGGTATGTACTTTTTTCTTTTTCTAATAACTTTTTTGCTTGCTTTTTATACCCTCTGAGTTTTAAATCAAAGTGGTTGTTGAAATTTTGGAAACAAAATCTGTTTTCAACTTAAGAATCATCCTTCTTCATCCACAAAAACGAAAATACTAAAAAAATTTGAAGCTAAAAGTGAAGCAGCTTTCCTTTCGCGATTTGTCAACTTTTGACCTAAAGTCGCAAAAATTGGTGAACTATTATTTTTTACTCTTTGCTTCAAAGTAGTAGTTGACCAGTTGAGTAAAAAACACTGTAAAACTAAACAATGTAAATACCTTTCATACTAAAAATGAAAAAAGAAAGTGGTTTTGATTTTTTTTATTTAAATGATTTATTCGCAGAATTTATAGATTGATAAATTTCTAAAAATCATTATATAAACAATCCCTTTCTGATTTGTGACAGATACATCATGAAAATTAGTCATCCAAAAATAATTCCATTAAAAATTAAACTGAAAAACTTTAAAAAAATGTAAATATCTGCAGTATAATCACAAGTACATTTAAATATAACGTTTTCTTTAAAGTTTTAGTAGTAGATAATGACGAGATAAGCACAAAAAGCTGTAATAATTCTACTGTTTAAAACTAGAAACAAAAATAGACCCCCCCTTTAAACATTAAAAAAAATAATATTCTTTAGCAGACGACATAACACTTTTTAAACTCGAAATACTTTGAACATAAACAAAAAGATTTAAAAGAAAAAAAAGATACTTAGTTTCACCTTTTTTCTTTAATGCTGATTACTAAGATTTAAAAGGCTTTATTTTTTGTGCGTGTCAATAGTGCCTTGGGTTTTAGCTTAAAAAAAAGAAATTAATAACTCTACCCCAAAATATCAAGAACAGTTTTTTTTTAACTAACTTAAAATTATAAAATAGTAAATTTTAATTCACTGTTGCGTTACTTCACTCAAAAAATATAAAAAAAAGACAAGACAAGTTAAGAAACAAACGCAAATGAAATTAAAAATAAGTTTTAACAATATTTTGAAAACTTTAACTGGTTCGATAAAAAATGTTACACATATCAACGTTAGGAGTAAAAAGTTAAAGTTTTCGATTTTTTTTTTTTTACTTACTTATAATTTGTTTGACAAAGTTGAATGAAAATTGAAAAGAGGTAAAAAAAAGAAATGTTGTAGAATGTAGATCAAGCAATTTTAAAATCGTTCATAATATTGAATTACAAAAATACCGGTGACTAAAGAAAAGGTATGTAGATGTTCTTTCATTTGTGTACTGTACATTGATATTTACATAGAACTTCTAAATGCAAAGGCCATTGCATAATAGCGGTGTCAACTCTTCATGTATCACTATTCTAAAAGTACATTTGTGACGAAATTTAATTGCTAAAAATATTTCTTTCTTTGGATGAAAAGAAAATTATAAACTGTAGCACAATGATATTAGAATTGAAAAAATTGCATTAATCTGTAACAAAATCAGTACTTCTCCAATAAACTTTCAAGTATTATTTTAAAGCTAAGAATAATTTTACGAAGGGAACTAATTTTCATCTGTAACCATTTTGATCCCAGTATATACTTACCGGTATATAGGAAATAAATACTTTATTCTTTTCATAGTGTAATTCTTAATAGAATAATATTTTAAAGCTCAATAACTCAATAGTAAAATAAATATGTTAATATGAAAATATTTAAAGCCGTATTATTATGCATTTTAAAAGATACGCATTGGTAATCATGCTAGCTCCATGACTCTGAACTATAGTGTGACGTAGTGACAGTCAGGGCGGCGAACACCCACGGACAACGGTAAGTTGAAGTTTAGTAGAATTTAATTTATATTTTTTTTGCATGCATAACATAAACTTTATGTTAATATTTTATTATTAGAATCTCTACTTATCTTTGAAGTTATTATATCTTATTAATACGTAAGCTTATTTAAAGCAACCTCTTTCGTGCTATTGTCGACCCCAAGTGTTTCGAGGGGTTTGTCAAAAGAGACGAGGATTGCTGCTCCTGTAATGTCGTGAAGAAGACAGAAAATTGCAGCCAAAATTTTTGATTTCTCTGTTGTTATCTGTAGCATTATTGAATCTATCGATCTTTGTGGAGGAATTTCGAGAAAGGTAGTTTTATAGTAGTCTTTTTATTTTTGTTTGGGAAAAAGTCCCGTTTTTAACACGCAAGCAACAAAATTTTAAAATGCTGTCATCGTGTTTTTTTTAAAGTCTAGTCTTTTTAATAGATGTACAATTAGTACACTACAGTATTAAATTAAAAATGTTTTGGATGAAAATATTTAAAAAGAAAAAAAGGTGCAATTATGTCGATGTTGTTTTATCGGACCATGCAACTAGTAATATTTTATTGTAATAACCAAAAAAGTAAATGTATTACATTATTAATTCCTGAAAAAATCAAAAAGGGAATAAAATGAAAAGAAAGAATCTGCAACCAGTTACCATGTCTTTTTTTTAGTTCCCGATAAAAAAAGAAATAAAATAAAAGAAAAACCTACTTTTGTTGGGAATCTTTTTTGTTGTATTCCAAATACTTATGTTGAAGATATTGGGATAGTTATGTTATTTAATAAATCACTTTTTTAAGTTAATTATAAAAGTCCTGTTTTAAAGGTTTATAATTCAATTGTAGAACTTAACATACAATAATCACGTATCCTAGCTTGAAACAATTTTTTTCAAAGACATTTCCACCTCGTCTGGAAAATTGGCCTTTTTTTTTTTTTTTTTTTTTTTTAAGTAGTTTTTA